TCTTCTTCTTCCTCTTCTTCTTCTTCTTCTTCTTTTTAAGATGTTGTTTATTTATTTGAGAGAGGAAGGGAGAGAGAGAGAGAGAGCATGAGAGTGGGGTGAGGGCCAGAGGGAGAAGCAGACTCCCTGATGAGCAGGGAGCCTGATATGGGGCTTGATCCCGAGTCTCCGGGGTCATGACCTGAGCCAAAGTCAGATGCTTAACCAACTGAGCCACCCAGGCGCCCTGGTTCATGGACCTTCTGAGACTCTCCTCTGCTTACGTTCTAACCTAACCATATACTACATCTCCTCTAGAACCTTCTGCCTGGAATAAGCTGGGGCAAGGCCCTCTTAAGGAGAGGAAACAGGTTCCAAATTAGATGGGAGACAGAGTGGGACATGTTTGGGTTCCTTGTTTGAATATGTAAACTGACCTCTGAAATGTTCCTTGACCCTCAGTCTTACATCTGTCACAGGTAGAGAAGACAGACGGTGTCGTACCAGCTATACTTCTTCACAATTACACACCCTCATCGGGGCATTTATGAACAACCCTTATCCTGGAATTGATACCAGAGAGCAACTTGCTAAGGAAATTGGCATTCCAGAGTCAAGAGTCCAAGTAAGTGTTGAAGAATTCGACTGCTCCATCTCCTAGGGATGGAGATGTATGGGACAGGGAGCCATGTGGACATGACAGGCACATTCCCACTCCAGGATCTTTCCACAAGCTGTTCTCTTCATCTGGTAGGTTCTAACTCAGGTTCCCCGACAGCCAGCTCTCACCCCCTTTAGTTCTTTTTTGTTGTAATCAATGTTTTATTTTTTGTCTTTTTTTCATCTGTTCACTGCATTTATTAGTAATATTAAAAATTTTTACAAAAAAATCACTCTCAGTTCTCCTGTGGCTCTCATCCCTCTTGCCTGAGCCCATTTCCTCAGGACCAGTTCAAAACTGAACCTGTCCGCTGCCATTTTCACAGAAAGCAACCAATGAAGATGCAAGGGATGCAGCAGAAGGTTGGAAGAAGGCAACAGTATTATTCTGGTTCCACCCAAAGGTCAGCTGGGCGGAGAGTCACAGAATTCAGACAAAAGGGCTAGTGGCCTCACCCAGTGACATAGTCTAACGAAAGTGGGCTGGAGAGGAGATAGGGTAGCCCACCAGAGCCTTTAGTGAACACCTCAAAGGCTTGCATCAAACCCGGAAGAAACGATACCAGTAGAAAAATGGGGAGGACCAGGGAGGCAGTCTTCTGGAAAGTTCCACAACTCTCCCATATTGGGAGGTGTGGAAAGTCTAGAGGGCACCAAGAGCCTCACTCATTTTTGGCAGAAAAAAAACTCTAGCATTAGGAAGTCACGAAGATGCCGCCCACATTGAGAAAGGCTACAAAGGGATGCACAGTTTTATAGGCACAGCAATCACAGACCAGAGTAGTGGGGATCACCACTACTGACACAGAAACCACAAAATGCAAGGGCAAGGAGAGTGGCCTTTTGGGGGGAAACTCCACTAGTGTCGTTCAAACTTGAGCCCAGGTCAGATGACCTGGTGAGTACCACAGAGGAGCTGGCAACACTGAGGTGTCACATAAAAAGGACTCAAAACAAGCAGCTAGAAGAAGGGAATGGTAGGAAACTGCTCCAGGGCTCTTAGGAATTGAGGGTAGTACTGGGGATAGGTGCACAAGCAACAACACCAAAGAGGTTACCTGTTCAGCAGTCAGTTGGCGAGGGGGAAGAGGACCCAGGAGGCAGATGAAGGGAGCAAACATGGGGTCCTGAAAGCGAGTCTGGAGGCTGGATCAGAAGGGGTGCACACTGCACCACTGATGAAACAACTCTGGACCCCAAGGGAGGAGTCAAGATGGTAAAGGAGTCAGGGGGCCCTAAGTTTGTCTCATCCCTCAAATACAACTTGATAGTTATCAAATCATTCTGAATACCTGAGAAATCAGAGTTCTGAGGAAACAAATACTGACAACTCTACAAGTAGGAAAGCAACCACCTTTTGGAAGGTAGTTGTTTTTGTTGTTTTTCCTTTTTCTTTCTTCTTTTCTGGACAAAATGATGAGAAATTCATCCCACAAGAAAGAACAGGAGGTAGTACTCACAGCCAGGGATTTAATCAATATGGATATAAGTAAGTTGTCTGAACGAGAATTTAAAACAATGATTATAAAGATACTAGCTGGGCTTGAAAAAAGCATAGAAGATACTAGAGAATCCCTTACTGTAGAAACAACTCTGAACCCCAAATGGGGGAGGCGGCAGATGCAGGTGGGTGTCACTGACAGAGGATGGTGGGGGGAACAGCCTCACAGTAGCCATCACAGGGCCACAGGGAAATATATGGCCTTCAGGTCATGGAGGGCTCTTCCCAGCCTGGATGGGAAGGCAGTCTCACAGAGGAGGTCCATTGATGCCTGACTGGTAGAAGGCACAGAGGTCCTCATATCAACAGTGGCCCTTTTTGGCTACGTGTCAGCATATAAGGCAGTTGGATTTGTCTTCCATAACTTGGAGTCCATCCTTGGGCAGGGAGATATTCTTTTTTTTTTTTTTTTAAGATTTTATTTATTTATTTGACAGAGAGAGAGACACAGTGAGAGAGGGAACACAAGCAGGGGGAGTGGGAGAGGGAGAAGCAGGCTTCCAGCTGAGCAGGGAGCCCGATGCGGGCTTGATCCCAGGACCCTGGTATCATGACCTGAGCCGAAGGCAGACGCTTAACGACTGAGCCACCGAGGTGCCCCAGGGAGATATTCTTGATAAGAGACCAGCTTTTGAGCCTTCGAGAGATTCTCTGCTTTTTGTGAAAGCCTCCCCTGGAGGGACCCCCATGGTCTGGTCTGGGAAAAGGAGATTCAACCTCAGTCACCCCTACCAACCACAACCATTTGGGCCACACCAGGGGCCTTGGCCTCCCTGATTTGGGCCTTTGCCCAGGGGAGGAGGTGGGAGACTCAGCAGTGGTAGAATCATTAGTCCCCTTGATTCTGGAGGACCTCTGTAAAGAGCTGACTTGGGGTCATCAGGCTTTCCACTGGCCAGGAGGCTACGTGGTCCAATGGGACTCCATCCTTCTCATCTCGTTTCTTCCCTCCTGCTCTGGCAGTGAGGGCTGCTGCTTCTGATTCTGCTTCTTCAGCTTCGGCATCATGGTTGTGGCAATGGCTACAGTGGGATTCGGAGGGCGGTGAGGAAGGGGCCCGCTGGGATTGTTTCCTGTTTGTTTTCTGAACAGCGCCTGGCACATGACAATAAGAATTTGTTGAAGGAAGGAAGGAAGGAAGATTACATTGAATACAAGCCAGACATTTGGCTAAAGTCTTTATATCTATTGTATTTTTCAACCTTTCTAATTATCCCATGGGTTTGAAATTATTTTGTCTACTTCAGAAATTTAACATGTAGATCAGAAATGTAGGGTCCTTTTGTAAAAAAAAGATTTTATTTGGGAGAGTGCAGAAGAAGGGGGAGCAACAGTGCAGAGGGAGAAGCAGGCTCCCTGCTGACCAAAGAGCCTGATGTGGGGCTCGATCCCAGGCCCCTGGGATCATGACCTGAGCTGAAGGCAGAAGCTTAACCTACCGAGCCACCCAGGTGTTCCAGAAATGTAGGATCCTGATGGAATATCATGCTGTCAGAGCGGCGTACTCCAGGTGTGTATTTAAACCAGTGCTCCTTCCAGTAATCAGGGAACGGATGCACATCAGTGGGTCTGATGCTCCTTTCTCTCTCTTCTCTTCCTTTCTCCTTCGGTGTCTTTCATGTTGCATTCATACCAAGCGCCTACAGTGTGCTAGGAACAGTCCTACCTAGTGAGATATTCATAAAGAAGAACAGAATCTTGGAAAATAATAAGGGAGATGGGCAAATAAACTGACAAATTTCGATGGTGTGATTAAATCACACAAATTTACTTTCTAGACAAATATGAACAAATGTGTTTAACAACAGGGAAGCTGATGTGTCTGGTCAGAAATAGTTTGACAGAGGAAAAGTTGATCCGAGGCTTGCAAAGTAGGGGGAAATTCCCCGGGGGAAGACCAGAATAGTGGGGGTTAATAAGGGCGGCATTTGTGGCAGACTGGATCTCTAAGGGCAGTCCTGTGGCTTCCAGAAAATTGTAAATTTGTCTACGGGCTGGTGAACCAAGGTGTCATAGAGATACTTAAGGAGGCTTCAAGTCTGAACCAGCTGTTTGTAGCCAGTTGAGATGGTGGACACAAACCCCAAATATAAAATCATTCATTATCCTGAGAGCTGTGAAATGGGGCCCATCTCATTAATCCCTATATGCTGAGCCGAGCTCAGAGGTCTTGAAGTGGGTTACACACTTGGAAAATGGAAAATGCTTGCTAGAAGAGTTTATATCTTATCCTTTGGGTGGTAGAGACGTGCTTGAAGAATTGAGGCAGAGGAGAAAGCATGCTATGGTTCCAGTTTGAAATAGCTCCTCTTCCCCCAGACTGAAGAATGGATTTAACGATGGAGACAGGAAATAAGTTTGACCATCAGTGGAGAGTCAAGGAGGCTGAAACGTGGAAATGAGCGTTTACGAGACAGCACGCACACAGATTGACAGCATATGCACAGATGGGGTGTGGAGGACAACGACGGCATATGGAGAGGGAAGGAAGGAGATCAAACAGGGGAGGATATGGCGGGTTTAGCTTGGATGGCTGGTCCAATATCGGACCCCCGATATTGGCATTATCCAGCAGGAGGATTGGGTTCTGGAAGAATATAAGGAGTTCCCCCAGGGTTGGAGGTGTCTGTCTGAGATACCTAAGACTGGATATCTAAGAGGCAGCTTCCAAAGACTCCAGAGCTCTGGGGAGGAGAGAATGGGTCCCAGTGAAGGCTGGGAGATTTTATAGAGAAGATGGGTAGGAGCGGCAGACTGACTTTTGAGTAAATGGGTTGGTGTGATTCGAAGCTAGTGGTGAAATACAAAGCGAATTATGTCCTAGTATAGCCATTCCATATTCCTTGGGCTAGTTTCTCCTTAGAATTCAAAGCTGAATATATTTTTCCTTAAGATAAAGATATGGGTAGGTGCAGAGATAATGAGAAATCTCTGAATAACTTTGTCAACAGGGGACTAATTCTTGTAGATATCACAAGCATGGCAGATGGAGAAAGGGATTTATGATTTGGGTGTAGATGCCATATACAGGGCTACATATGTGCAGGTCTTCCAAAACCAGCATTCATCTGCAGAGTGGTCTATACCTTCAGGAAGGATGTGAAAGTTTCAGTGACATAATGTGACTTTTCCAAAGCCTGGTTTTTGAACTCTAGACCTGTGCTTTATTCTCCTCCTCTGTGAAGACCAAAAGTAGCAGCTGTGGAATATGAATGTGTGTGTGTGTGTGTGTGTGTGTGTGTGTAATATATAAATCTGTGTTTTTCTAAAGTTATTATTATAAATTATGTATGCATATATTTAACATGTGTCTCATGTGCATAAATGTGTGTATTTTATCAGCAGAGGCTAGGGGTAGCAATCAATTATGTATTGTGGGATGAAAAATATTTTCCTAGACAGATATACTCTCCTGGGTCACGGAAGAAAAATAGGCATTTTTGAGAGGAAGGAAAAAAGATGGGAAAGGAATTCCAGGCAGAGGGAAGAGCTTCAGACTAGGCACGTTAGGGAAAACCCAGCAGTGGTAATGAGGGGATCATGGGGAGTTGAGGGAATGAAACCCATCATGAAGGTACTAGGTGTGTGGTTCAGAATTTTGGGCTTTATCTCCAGACCCAACAGACTTTCCTAGATGTCATATGGAATGTCAGTGATTTTGAAATTAAGCCTAAAACAAATCATCTTACTCTTCCTTCTGCCTTATGAAAAAAGCAATGGTGAAGTTTTCATGACATCACTTGTTTTAACTAATTCTCAATGTTTTACCTACTTAGATTTGGTTTCAAAATCGGAGATCCAGATTCCATGTCCAGAGAAAAAGAGAACCTGATGATCAAGACTCAGAACAGAGACAAGACCAGGACCAGGATCTCTGGGATGAGAGAGTTCAAGGTACTCACCCTGTTGTTCTCATTTTGGCTCACAAGCAGAGGCTCCTGACTGTCCAGTCCTTCCACGTGGTGGAGTCAGCTCCAACTACCTCTTGGGAAGTAGAAGAGATTCCTACTCAAGTGTCTTATCAGGTTCCATGGAGTAAGGGGATTGGTTATAGTCTCTGGAGGCTCTTCCCAAGTCAGGGGTCCCCCCCAAGGAATTCCACTGGCCATTTTTCCAGCTGGAGTCCAGATACCCCAGTAGAATGTGCATTTTGGTCACTGATGTCTTCTCAGGGCCTGGTACATAGTAAACAACTGGTAAATTTTGTGGAAGGTATGGTTGACTTAATGGAAGAATCAGTCCTTGGGTGTGTTCTGCCAGGGGCCGCCTAGTGCATGGCTGTCCCAGGAGATAGTAAGTTCCATGTTGGGCTAGAAAGGCGGGGGCTGAGTTTACTTTCATGTTTGAATGTATAAACTGGCTTCTTCCAATCCCCCGTAGGCACAGAAACTACACAAAATGACCCCAGTCTCACTCTTGTCTTATTTCTCCAGTGCAAATGCAGGGTGGCCGGAGAGACATTCAGTACATTTTATGTCTTCAGCCTGGGCTCTAAATCTTTCTCACTCATCTTGGGAATATGTCATTCTAAACATACCTTCAGCTTTTCCAGAAGCCGAGCCTGCTGGAGATGGTAAACAGAACTTCAGGAGCCAGAGACAGATACATATGGCGCCACATAGCCCTACTGACTGATCGTAGATCCAGAGTTCAGCAGATCTTGAGGACAATGAAAATAAACTTATCGATAGCATTTTTCAGTCATCATAGTAATTGTGCTTTTCAGTAAGAAGCACTTATTTGGTCTTCATCCCCATTTCTGGCACAGAGCTTCTCAAACCTTTGGAATTTCCAGTGATTGGAGAAATTAGAGTTCTTCCTCCCTGAACTCCAGGAAGTGGGGAGGGGCTGGAGGTTGAATCATTTGCTGATGGCCAATGATTTATTATTTTTTACCTTAATTCCAGTATGGTTAACATACAGTGTTATATTAGTGTCAGGTGTCCAATACAGGGTTTCAACAATTCTATACACTATTCAGTGCTCATCATGGTAAGGACTCATAATCCTCCTCACCAACCCCCCCATTCCCTCCACCTCCCTTCTGGTAACCATCAGTCTATTCTCTGTAGCTAAGAGTCTGGTTTTTTGTTTCTCCTTTTTCCTTTGTTCGTTTGTTTTCTTTCTTAAATTCCACATATGAGTGAAATCAAATGGTATTTGTCTTTCTCTGACTAGTATATTTTAACATGTGGCTTTTTAAAAAGTTTGTTAAAAAGATTTATTTGAGAGATAGAGAGAGAGTGCTCTCCCATGCTCTCATATACAGACTTGAGTCGGGGGCGGGGCACAGAGGAAGAGAGTCTTTCAAGCAGACTCCCTGCTGAGCTCAGAGCCTGACACGGGGCTCAATCCCACGACCCATGAGATCATGACTTGAGCTGAAACCAAGTCGGCTGCTTAACCGACTGAGCCACCCAGGTGCCCCCTCTTTTTAAAAAGTTTTTATTTTTATTTTTTAGTAATCTCTACCCCCAACATGGGGCTCAAACTCACAACCCCAAGATCAGAGTTACATGTTCTACTGACTGAGCCAGCCAGGCACCCCTTGATTTATTTCACTTAGCATGATACTCTCTAGATCCATCCATGTTGTTGCAAATGGCAAGATGTCATTCTTTTTTATGGCTGAGTAATACTCCATTATATATATTATTCCATTATATATAGTCTTTATTTATATTTATTATATATTTCATCTATATATATGGAATATATATATTCTATCATATATATACTTTATCCATTCATCAATGGATGGACACTTGGAATGCTTCCATAATTTGGCTGTTTTAAGTAATGGTGCGATAAACATAGGGGTGTATATATCTTTTCAAGTTAGTGTTTTCCTATTCTTTGGGTAAATGCTCAGTAGTAGAATTACTGGGTCATATGGTAATTTTATTTTTAGGAACTACATTTTCTAAGGAGTTCTCTTCTATATGTAGCATGTACTATCATGTGAAAAAAAAGTTAACACACTGCCAATTTTCCTAAGAAGAAAAAGGATTTTTAAATATTTGGTAAAATAGACATAACATAAAATCTGTTGCCATTTTAATGATTTTTAAGTGTACAATTGAGAGCATTAAGTACATTCACACTGTTGAGAAAGTGTGACCACTGTCCGTTTCTAGAACTTTTTCTTTTTTTTTAAAAGAAGATTTTATTTATTTATTTGACAGAGAGAGAGAGGGAGAGTGCACAAAGAGAGGGAGCGGCAGACAGAGGGAGAAGCAGACTCTCTGCTGACCAAGGAGCCCGACGCGGGACTCGATCCCAGGACCCTGGGATCATGACCTGAGCCAAAGGCAGACGCTTAATGACTGAGCCACCCAGGCGCCCCTGTATTTGTCATTTCTAAGTGACCTATTCCTTGACTTGCTTGTTTTATAAATAATCTTAAGTGACTTTCTGGAGACCCCCTCAGGGGCTGCATTCTTTAGGCAGTATTTTCTTTTTTAATAATTAAGTGTAATTGTAGTAAAATAAATAGAACATAAAATGTACTATCACAACCAATGTACAGTTCCATGGCATTAATTACATGTATGTTTTTCAACCAGCGCCACCATCCAACTCCATAATTGTTTTCCCCTTGCAAAACTAAAACTCTATACTGCAAAACAATAACTTCCCATCTCCCTTCACCTCAACCTGTGGTAACCACCATTCTACTTTCTTTCTCTATGAATTTGACTATTCTAGGTATCTCATGTAAATGGAATCATACAATATTTGACCTTGTGTCTGACTTTTTTTCCCATAGCATTATGCCTTCAAGGCTTATCCATCTTATAGTGTGTGTCAAATTTGTCTTCCTTTCTAAGGCTGAATAATATTCCATTATATGCATATACCACATTTGCTTTATTCATTTATTCATTGGTGGACACTTAGGTTGCTTCCATCTTTGGGCTATTGTGAATAATGATGCTATAAACCTGGGGGTACAAATATCTGTTTCAATCTCTGTTTTCAATTCTTTGGGTTATATATCCAGAAGTGAATTGCTGGACCATATGATGAAGAATTTTTAAAATAAACAGATATTATGAAGCAGATATTTTATTATTTTTAAAAAACATTTTATTTTTTTAAACTAGGCTCCACACCCAATGTGACCTCGAACTCATGACCCCAAGATCAAGAGTCACATCTCTACTGACTGAGCTAGCCCGGTGCCCCTGAAGCAGATATTTTAAAAAGTAAAATATCTGGTCAAATAGGGACTTCTACAAGGAGTGTGGTAATTTTAAATATGCTAAAATTTCATACCCAGTTAATAAAGTTACATTCTAGGGTGCCTGGGTGGCTCAGTTGGTTAAGCAACTGCCTTCGGCTCAGGTCATGATCCTAGAGTTCTGGGATCGAGTCCCACATCAGGCTCCTTGCTCAGCGGGGAGTCTGCTTCTCCCTCTGACCCTCCCCCCTCTCATGCTCTCTATCTCATTCTCTCTTTCAAATAAATAAATAAAATCTTAAAAAAAAAACTAAAAAAAAATTTACATTCTATAAAAGTTAAAAAAATCTATATTATGTAATAGATGGAAAACCTTTAATTGATGTATACCCATACCCACACACGAAGATATTTGTGACATATATACTTTATTTTTAAATAAGTTCATATTCTAGGTCAATACTATCCAACAGAAATTTCTGTGTTGCTGGAAATACTCTTTACTGGTGCTAATAGCCACAAGCCACAGCTGACTACTGAGTAGGACAAATAATGGCTAGTGTGACAAGAGGAACTGCATTTTTAATTTATTTTAATTTTTAAAGCTTTATTTATTTGAGAGAGGGAACACAAGTGGGAGGGGCAGAGGGAAATGGAGAAAGAATCTCAAGCAGACCCTGCACCAAGCACAGAGCCCCAACGTGGGGCCTGATCTCACGACACTGAGATCAGGACCTGAGCTGAAACCAAGAGTTGGACGCTTCACCAAATGCGCCACCCAGGTGCCCCGTAATTTTACTTTAATCGTATACAGTCACTATGGGAAACAAACCGAGGGTTGTTGGAGGGGGAAGTGGGGGGCGTGGCTGGGGGATGGGCATTAAGGAGGGCACTTAATGTAACGAGCACTTGGTGTTATATGCAAATGATGAATCGCTAAACTCTACCTCTGAAACTAATAATACACTATATGTTAATTAATTGAATTTAAATTAAAAAAATAAAGGCAAAAAAATGTGCAGAGGCACGTGGCTAGCGGTTACCCTATTGAACAGTGCAGACCTAGAAAGCATCTTGTGAACTATTTAATTCAACATTACATTGGCAGCATCTTTCCAATTTTATAAATCTGCTCCTCAAACACTGGTATCTATTTGATGGCGTTAGTAGGTTAGAAAGTATATGTAAAACTCTATCTTAATCACAGCAAAACTGAAACAGTGCCCCATGAGTTAATGAAGTTAAAACTAGCAGAAAATTATAAATAAAATCTTTAAAAAAGACTAGCAGAAAATTTTAATTTTGTTTTTTAGACAACTGTTTTCCCAATAAACTATTGGGCCTTTTCAGACCCAACAAACCCACTAGCTGTCTCTGCGGAAGCCTGGACTCAAGGTCAACTGATACAGTCCCAGCCCATGAACAAGGAAGGCCCTGCATTTCTTAATCAAGAAAATGAGCCCAAGACCCCATCCAGCTTATACCAGCTGCCCTAAATTGCTTCCCCTCGTCCTGGCATCAGGGGCTGGGTTTTGCTTTGTTCTGGTGTTGTCTTTACCCCCAAACGAATATGGGATGTATGTTACACATAGGTTTGCTCATTATGCACACTCCGGCTTTACTCATGAAAAGTCATGCTCCCCCACTCTCTTCATCAATATGCATGTAGCCTCAACTCCTTTGATT